ATCGGCTAGATCGAGAAGCCCGAAGCGAGGGCACGTATATTGTGAAAGGTGGGCATGGGCGGTGGTCCGTGGCAGTCTCCACGTATCAGGTATGCGTAACGTGCATGTCCGCGGACAGTTCAGGATCAGAATAAAAGGTTGGAGCAAGAAGGCAGCCAACGGTTCCTGTTATACCCACATACTGGCATCAGGAATAGTCTCGATCGTGCACGTTGACGCCAGTCACCGACCGGGATCGCATTTTCGCGAACAAAGGAAATCGACGAGTCTGAAGGTTGGGTTATCTGGGGAAGGCTGAGTGAGTTACGTGGAAGGTTGCATTACGTGGGCAAAGAAACAGACTTTTAACGATATCCTGGTTTGACGATCTACCGGCTCAAAGTTACTTGTTTTGACATTTTCTTTATAACGATTACACTTTTCACATTTTCGGTACGTCTTCTGAAATTTGTTTTGACTTTCGTTGAATGTGTAAATAATTTATTTTATAATGTGGTTTTAGGTAATCTTTTCATTTCGTTAGAATTTGCAGGTTGTAGAAAAATTATCGAACCTTGCGTGTTATGTTTGCTCAGTTATTGGATACCTCTACTTCTTTCATGCTTTACGTAGCTCTTGCTTGCCCGTAGGAACGTATGATACTCTATCGATGTTTCTTTGTGTTTTATTTGAAATATTTATTCTTTGAACACTATCTCCTATTACTTTTGCATACTGAATAATTAGAGAATGGCTGTATTTAAATAAATATATATGATTTCTTGAAAGAAAGTGCAGTTGCATGTTCTTGGCGCATGATTGCGCTTGCGAAGAGAACATTATGCAATTATGAATAACAGTTAAGATAATATTGGATTGTGCGACTAGAAAGACAAAGTATCTCCAAAGGTTGTTAAATGGGAACTGGAAATCTGACATGCTGTTTCCTGCTAGTCACGTAATCAAATATTATCTTAACCGTAATTCATTATTTCTATTTAAACATTCCATATTCTTCAACAAGTATTAATCACGTATATGGACTATCGATTAGTATCTTGCAAATGTTTCGTAATCTACGTATACAGGGTGATTATGGAAATTAGCACGAGCTGTAGCAGTTTTTTAAGCGATTATCCAAACAATCAATATAAAAACAATTTATATTTTGGATAAAATAGAATAGAACAGCCATTAAATACATTCGTTACTAATATTACATTAAAGAAAATAAGAAAAAATACACATGTTCGATAATTAAATGATTTTAATCGAACAAACTCGAGATCAAGCAACTATAAATATGTCCCTGTTTCGCGTATTTCGATAAATTCGAATGAAAACGTTCGAGCGGAAGTACCGCTTTCACATCGCTATGAAATATTACCGAAGTATGCACCATGCAGTGTGCGAGTCGACGTTTCCAGCTTAAGAAAATTTGCTCTTACTATGTCAGGCTATTTTTTAAACTACATGCTACGTGCAGTCGATATTAGAACGAATGGAGATTCGAATCTTTGGGAGAAACTTGAGAAGCGTCCGACGAGGAACGAGTGTAAGGAAAAGAAAGTTAAACTGCCATGAATTTCACGTTCAAACACTGTTCTTTAACAATTTCATAACTCTCGGAAAACGGCTGCTTGGGTTAACGTTGATTGCAGAGGTACGTTGAAATCTAATCGAATTAGACATCAAAATATTCGCGGTTGCAATTAACACAACTAGCAATTTTGCATTCCATCGCTTACGATCAACACACAGTAATGGTTCTTAAAATTAACCCCAGACGTGATTCGAAAGTTGAACAATCCAACCCCGAAGCAATGTTCATATTAAAAATCATTATTATATAAAGCGTTAATTTTGCAACTTTTTATTATGCATCGTCACTGGCAGTATTACAGTAGAGTGGATCGATACTTTATATCATTTTCGAGAATGTTCCTGGCAATGTTACGTAATAAAATTCGAGTTGAGAATTTTCTCCAAGTAAAAATTTCAAAGTCTAACTGGACTGGATACAAAGTTGCAGTGGACGGTGTCTGTACGAGTGAAAATACGATCAGTGAACTCCTTGCAGGAGTATAGTTGAAAATTGGCCTAATACCAAGAGAGTTTATCCTTCCAGATGCTCGCCAGCGCGCGAAAATAAAAGCTTGCCCAGGTACGCAGTAAGGAAGTTTCACCTACAGGTGCCCCAGATAATTACACAATGCGTCTGATGGTCGAAGACTATGGATGAAATTCCTGGGTGTGGCGACGCAGCCTTCCTTGCCAGTGTAAAAAAAATAAACTGCAACGGTGCAACGCAGTTGCATGCCTATCGGTGGCGTCCGAGGCATTCGTACGACCAGACAAGGTCGTCCATTTTGGAAATCGCGCTGTGACCGAGGCGAGGCTTGCTTTTCATTCCTTATCATGCATCGTTGTTACGAGTTTATAGCCAGGAGAGTCGAGAGTGAGATCTCTTGATAAGTTAATTTTGTACTGCTAGTTGAAAAACATAGGGCTGCATTCGTTGGTCAATAACAATTTCTTAGCTTTGTTATTATGTTAGAGAGTTCACCTTTTATTGCAAGAAATAATTTCGTATGTTTGTTAGGAAGTTCTTCGATAATTTCTTATCTTTGTTAGCAAGCGGGAAAGCTCATCGTTTATTTAATTAAACAACGTTTTGAAGTTAAAAAACGAGAAAGAATAACGCAAGAATCACGCATATTAATTACTAAACGGTGTTGTCGGAGCTACGTACTCCAATAAACAAAACAACTATCACCACACTCTTCCATAAATACTTTATTACGCGCTACATTAAATTACCACAAAAACAATGCAGATAGTACATAAAATTAGTGTTTCTACTATACTAACGCGTGTAACATTTGTAACAGCATCTCTTCTCGCCTACAAACATTCGTGGTGATCGTAAAAATTCTTCTACGAAATTCCAAGCCTATTATTACATTATCGAGTCACCGATTATTAATTTCCCTATTGGTCGCGCGCGTGTTTAGAAACGTTGATCGACGTAATGCGTTCGCAATTCCAGTTCATCCTTCGCGAAGAGAAATCGGAAAAATGGAATGGAAATATCTCGAAGTTCCTTATTACATATACAGAAATCTCGCAGACATAATTAGGATTCATAAGGTGGATCGCCTACGACGCCACGTTGAACCGATCGAGAACATGCATCGTTCGATAGATATCATCTGAAGGCCGCTCGAAAGCATTCCAACGTCGCGATTTTTTATCAACGAGTCAAGTTCACCTATGATCGCATTCGTAATTGCGCGCGACACGTTGATTAACATTAACGGGATTCCACTTTACGCGCGCATACCTCGCGAATTGTTCACCCCATTCGTCACGGGGCGACGCGGAAGAACGCAGTTTCCGTTCGACGTTCGTTTATCTCGGTGTCAGAAGTGGGCAGAATTGTATTCAAATAATAGACGAAGGATAAAAATTCTGTTATTCAAACGAACCTTTAATCGATTAACATGGAACGTAGTTTTATTTCATAATTCGAATTGTAACTTTCTTCGATAGAAATTATCTATGAATTCAATTTTAAATGTCATCTTTTCTTTATTCGAAATTTTTTATCTAGAATTTTGCCCATCTCTGATCGAAACTATGCTAATGGAGATTTGAACTCAAGATGCCATTACAATTCAGTGTGAATTATGATACATATTACAAATATATTGAATTTAAAATATTATTTACACATATGTTAGTTATTCGCTTTATGAAAAATTTCTGAAAAACTTTCGAATACATTTAATTAAAAACAGTTAAAATTAGGTCACGTTTCGACTTAGTTTCTTTGGATAAATTTTAGTAAATCGTGCTTTAATGAAGAACAGTTTTCATTGTAGGTTAAAATTCGATGTATATAAATGGGGTGGTTTCAAAATTTTAATCGTGGTACAAAACTCGAACTTTTAACGAGAAGTTTCTGTACATCTTGTATCAGAAAATAACACACGTAGAAATAATAGTCTGAGATAGTAAGGTTTGAGCGTTGATTCTAAGAAGTGCTAGAAGAAAATATGTAGCAAGAGTATAAATAAGTGATTTATAAGAGTATCAAGAGGTAGAAGAACTGGTAGAAGAATGAAAAAGAGGTAGAGTTTTATAGAGGAACTACTTATAAAGTTTAAATATGAAAGTCATGCATTAGAATGTCTCTATCTGTTTGTAATAATTATAAAATATCATGCTATAACTAAGTCTCGACAGAATAACTGGGTCCACGTTCTCCAACTCAGTTGAGATATGACGTTTTAATAATTGCAATTGGGACTTAAAGAACAAGAAGTCTTAGTTGGACACGAAAATTTCTCAGCAATGTGAGAGAACTTAATATCCTTTTTCTCTTCACAAAATGATGCATCGTGTGGCTTATTGTTGGTCTTTTGCAAAACAATTGTTTTCGGTCAAAATTTTACTTAAATGCTTCTTAAATAAGTCTCTTGAAAGCCAATTTAATACTTAACATTCTCAATCCTTTTATTCTTCTCAATATAAGTAAATTTATATCTAAAAATAGAAAACTATTCAATATTCAGATATTAATTTACTCATTTCCAGAAGAGGGCTTAACAAGCAAAGAGTAAATATTAATTTGGCTTGTAAAAGATCCTATAATACGTGATCGTGATATGGTTTCTAATAATCAATTTACAGACTACACGTTTACAACCAACAATATAGAAATAATTCGTCACAGAAGGCATTCGTAGACACACGAAATTCATAAAATAGCGTCTACCATGTTCGGAAAATTTTAGTTTTCAAACTCAATGCCCAGAAAGTTGTTCAGTCCTTCGAGTCTCAACGTTTCCAGTCTAGAAAGTCCCATAACGATTAAACGGAAGAAAATCTATAACATTTTAAACTCTATTCGATAGACTGGATGGAACCAAGTCAGGAAAACTGGCCCTAACAGACGCGTCTTGGTAATCGGCATAAATAACGCAATATTTACACGGAGCTGCGCGATCGAAGGATCCTTATCGCCTGTAATTAACCGTGTAAGAGGCTAACCCGGCATTGGGATCGACATTGGGCGCTGGTCGACCCTGAATTCCGCTTTGTACCGACGAGACGGGATACGAGGAGCGTTGTTGTTGGCCCTGATATTGTGGTTGATACTGAGATCCGTACTGCGGTCGATATTCTGGCTGATACTGCGGCTTCGGCTGCTGGTACTGCACTTGCGTGGGATACCTGAAAAGCCGAGAAACAGATGCTGCCAGTTAATACCACTGTTTTATTCCCGCGAGTCGAGGCAGGAGTAGCCGCGAGTTGAGCAAGTCACGTTCGGTGCACTTTCAAGTGAGATTCACTTGACATTTACGTGGTTCATTGTATATAGATGCGCGCACTTGATGTTGAGGAAGTCTATCCCTACCACCTTGCCCCCAGGGGGTTCGTGGAAATGACTATGGCGATTTCGAGATTCTACTCCAGCACAAAGAATACTGCTACGACTTCTCTGGGTGCTTAGAAAAAGGCGATCGTCGTAGAACGACTATATTTTAATAGAAAAGTTTCTATACCGAGCGTTTGAGAAATACAAGAATACTTAATGAGCTTAAGGATATACTAGCTACATACTAGAAGTAAAAAACGTCATATATCATATACTCTAAACACTAGTGATTAGTGACTGAAAGTTATTTATGTTTTCTGGTAATCTTGTGGTTGGGAGAAACCTATCCAGTAGGAGTACCTAATTGGATTTGTTATATTATTATTCAGAAAATCTTCATCGATAATTTTCCTTTATCGACGACGACTTCTAGTAGCTATCGTATCATGTTATTCATTAAAAAATTAGCGTTACATTACTTAAGGCAAGTGCAGTAATCGGAGTAATTAAATTGTCACTGACCTGGGTGGGTTGTAGATCGGTGCAGGAATTGGCCGCGGTGTATTCTGAACAGGGGGTTGACGAGGAAGCGGCTCGTAGCGTTCTCCGTTTGTGTACCGAGGATCGGTATAATAAATGGAAGGATCCTCTTTGTATTGGCCGTCGTCCACGGGTTCGTTCGGCTCACCGATGCTGTTGCCTCTCAGGGTTGGCGGGGGCACGTTTATTCCAGGACCAACTGGCTCGAAACCGCGTCTGGATGCTCCGTATTCGATCTCACGAACGCTTCCGGTATCGTCGACGAAACCGTATTTTCCATACACTTCGCCAGTCGGATACTTCGATTCGATCTTGTACGAACCGTCCGCTGCCTCGTAGCCGTAGCTGTAGCTTCCATCTCCATTATGCCTGACCAGAACACGAATAAGTTAGACTTTTGTTTGTTCAAATATAGAAGAAGCATTTTAATAGAGTTTCGATTATCCGATTGTAAAAAATTTCAAATCATTCTGAAAAAATTATTTTTGGTTGCGCGGGTCAATTACAATCATTATTGGTGAATAGACATACCCCCAAAATCCTAACCATTTTTTAGAAAAAAATTCGTGTACGTGGACAATTTGTTAATAAAATTAAAAAATTTCAAATCGTTTAAAAAAAATTATTTTTGGTTGCAGTGGTCAATTACAATCATTTTTAGGCAATAGACATACCCCCGAAATCCTACGCACTTCCGAGAAAAAAATTCTTTACCGAAAATACAATGTCTGACCATAAATGAAATTTCTTGCGTAATCCCCTGAAATTGTATGCGTATGTTTAAAAAGTCATAACTTCTGAACGGATTGGAGGATTTTAATGTTTCGAAATACAATCAACGCGTATTTTCGTACAGAATATTTAGAAATTAGACCATATTTAATGATTTTATATTTCCAATGAAATTATTAATTTTAAATTAAATTTCCAATGATGTTATTTGATCTCGTTTTCGAATGTCTGCCATTTTTGTGCTACGATAATTGAAAAGTCTGTTGCAATAAAATGGCGTTTCCAATTCCTAATAATTTGAGTAATTCGAATTAAGCATAATAATATTCAAATGATTTCAAGTTTGCATAGTATTCGGAATAGTTTGAGAAGAACGAATCTTTTATTATTGACAAACTAATTTTATTTCGTTATACGATGCACGTGTCGGTGATTTGGCTTGCATCTTACATCAGTCACGCGAAATTGTTTGCAGGGAAATTACACAAACTCGCGAAAGCAGACTAATGCAATGCAACGAGTCCCTATCTATTACAGAATCGAAGAAAAGTATAGATGTACCCTTGAAATTGCAGAGAAACGAATCTCCTTACGAAAGTATTCAGCGTAACGCCTACTTTAAATGTTATGTGCAGTTTTAGCAGTCGATCGTTGCCTAAGAATTTTTGCACAAATTACCGAGCACGGTGAGACTTTCCTGCGTGAAACAAATTTCCACTTCCCGTTTAAAAGATAACTGTGTTTAACGAATTTACTAACATTTGTCGACGTGGAAATTTATAATGTTGCATCGAGTTTGTACAATTTTGTTAGAATACTTTTATTAAGGATCCTTTAATAACAAACTCTTTGTTTCCCGTTTCAGTGAAAACAGAAAATGAAAATATTTATAGCTTTAATTCAAATTTGAATGGAGTATAAAAATAAAGCTCTTAATATTTTTTTCTTATATGATTCGTATTTTTTAAAAATTTGTCATTCGTAACATAGATATATTTGTATTTGCCATAAATGTTTCACGCATCGAAGGTTAAAACGAAATTAGGAAAGCGAATAATAATTGGAATTGGGCATGTTTGGATTGTGTTTAGTAACTTAAGAAAACGGTACTTACTTGTTTATTTGCTTCAAAATGGGCACCGGTGTGGGCACAGCGTATTGATTGTGCTGGGCGAGCGCAAGGCCAGCGCAAAACAAGAGAGACAACACCTGGTGACACGAGTTTGCATAAAATAGTTGGCACTCGAATCACTTTCCAATAACCTCGTGCGCATTGAAAAATAACTGAGCGCCGATATTGCGCGTTTGAAATTCATTTGCACGTGGGGTTACCTCCGGTTTTTACGGTAAAAGGAAATCGTGAACGCCGGATTGTTAAAAGCATTATTTCAACAGGAGAGGGTAAGACACTCTGTACCCGGATTCAGCAATTCTCCGCTTTTATATTGCAGCATATATGCATTTATATCAGAAGCATTCCTGAATATTGGAAAAGATTTACTAAATTGCCTTGAAATATAACATAGAATAATAAAATTGTTTGCTGCTGTAAGTAAATTACCTTGCTGATAAAAATCAGTAGATTTAATAGTCGAGACAAAGATTATGCCTTGGATTATAATTGCAATCATTTCGAAAACTGAAATTTCTATTTTTCTGGCGTAACTTGTTATGAAACTGGTTATTGCAAGTTTTCTGAAGTCAAGAATTATGAATTCATTCAAAATTAATCTTATAGTGTAGAAAATTCAAAATAGTTCATCATATTATCTGTAACTTTAAGATGTTTTCTTGTAATAATTTTTGGCGACTTCAACTGGCTGTTAATAATGCATATACAGAAATTCTAGAGGGTGCAGGGCAACATTCTATAGATTTAATAATACCCGGGTTAACTATCACCTTAGAATGATTAATATGATCAGATGCATAAAGATTAATAAAAGTTACTACAAAATATGGTATACAGAGCAACAGATATAAATGCCTCTATTCTTGTAGGTGCTTAATCAAATAAGTAAAAGTATATTTGAATGAAAAAGTATTACTTCTAAACGCGTTATATAGATTTCTATTTTTGTATATGTTTATATACAAACAGTTAAGATAAATTTGCATTAAACAAAATTACTGTGAAACACGTTATACAAGGAACTGACACTGGTCCCAATAGTCGAGGCAGTTGAAGCGGAAAAAGCAGTGGTCTAGGTCGTTAAGACAATCAGAGGGAAACGATCGAGTTATCGACGCAGTTAGAGAGGAAAACATTGGTTTAAATGCAAAAGTATTTAGGGAATCATTTCTTTCAACCATGAAAAATACATGTCACTTAAGCAATTTAATCTGGGTTACATTGAAATCGACTTTAACCGATTGTCACATAAGTATATATTTATATTTTGAGTTAAAGTTGTGGTGGAATATTCCAAATTATTATTTTTTAAACATATATAACACGACAACATTGTTCCAAAATTGATACACGTCATGAATCAATATTAATTTAAATTTCTGTTTACTAAATAGGATAAATTAATAGAAATGTGTTGTTGATGAAACTCATAGTTGAAATGTCACAGTCTGAAGTGACAGATAGATGTAATAACTAAATAACAAAACTGAGCACAAGAAACGCGACTGATCTTTACAATTAACCTCTACTATTTTAAAATTGTGATTAAATATTTCAAATTACAATATCATCACAAAATTGATGGATGACATGTATCGATGTCGGTTTGAATTTTTGTTTGTTAAGAAAAAAGAGTTCATCTCTGAAGTAATTCGCAAAGAATCGAATATACGAAGAAGCACTGTCGATGTCACATGCAAGTTAACGAAAATGTATTTCGGTGAGCACAATGTCGGTGAAACGGTACGGTTGAAATACAGGGTTGACGAAAAGCACTGTCGATGTCAATGTAACCGATCCGAGTCTCAGCAAAGGGGCACCGATGAGACACTAGCAACGAAAGAGGAAAAACGAGGAATACTCACGGGAAGACGCATGTCTCGTTGCTGATGAGGCAGACGCGATTGTATTATAGGATCGCGTTACACCGGCCGCGAGTCAACTTATATAGGTCCCCTTCGGGAGCGGCGGGGCCCGCCCATGGGCCCGACCACCGCCTCAACCTCGCCGCGATCTGAGCGCGCGAGTTCACCGCACCGAGTCGCGACTTTGAAAATGTCTAAAGTGCCAATTTTCATTCATCGTCGAGCGTGACGTGTCTCCGGTTTTCGATGCACCACCCGTTACGTAAACAAGTTAAATAGGAAAACCGCGACTCCACCGAAGCGTTGCACAGTGTGGGACTCACGTGTCGAAACATGGTCAAAATTCAAGCAATCGATTTGTCGTCGAGCTGTTTAATTTGAAATTTAGCTTGTACAAAATTTTCCTTGAAGATTTTTAAAATCTGAGAACAAAACCCAGCTATTAAAATCACCCTGTATATCTAGTCCTAGCAAAGACATTTTTAAATTTTACAAACGAAATATGAGTTAATTCAAACACTTGATCCACGGATTATTATGGTCAGTGCAAGCTGGGTATCGAAAGAGACGAAATGCAATCGGTTATTGATAGTCATTTATTTCAGGCAACCGCAACGCAATTGGGTATGAATGAAGACTCGGATATCTAATTTCATCTTGAGTCACAGTCAGCTTTATTTTACAAATTCCACAATTATACATTTTGGAAATCTTGTTTTCCTGTGCTTCGAGAATTATTTCTCTGACGATGATCACTCCAGAATATCGATATTTTCAAAATCGTGAAAACGTTCGTTTATGAACACTAGCTAAAACTTTGAGTAATACATTTATTATTATCTTGCATTCATCGAAATCCCTAAGTTAACGAAATAATCTTCTTATTTAATCTTCATTTAGCTATTCAATTTGCTTAAGAACGAATGTAACTAGTTTTGTATTTCTTCATTTCATTTTCTAATTGTTGATTACAATGACACAAAACAAGAATTTTAGGGTTGTTAGTAACTTTGATAGCAGTAAAATATGAATTTTTTCTAAAAGAAATTAATTTTTGCAAGAAGTAGGTTTAGTGTGTTCGTGTCAATTATGTAAGAAAGTTTGATCTATCTAATATAACAGATAGCAGAACTGAAATTAATATAAAGAATTAAGTTTCGTAGCTCGTGAGCACGCGTTAACGACTGCGGTTGCAGTCAAGGGAAAGCCCTTGGACCATTATATGCAGCCTTTATGTTTTCCAGAAACATGATTCTACAAGGTGATCTTCTACAGTGTAAATATGTGTTTGCAAGGACATAGTATATAATATTCAGTGTAAAGATGAGTTGTATCTTCGTTGTACATCGTCAGTTAAATTTACACGTATCTCCTTTGCCTTTTAGTTCACATATTACAAGTCACTTTGAATACGTAAATTTACATTTGGTGTAGCATTTCATTTCTAGAGAATTTCGTGATGTTTCTGTTGTACGGCGTTGAGTATGAAACAAACGAATGATAAACAGTGCATACAACATAATGGAGAATAATACAGATTTTAGAAAGTCGTAATAAGCATACGGTTTCTAATTCAAGAACCAAATCACAAGAAGTAGTCATCAGTTTACAGTTTATTGTTTCCACTACACTGGAATGTGTAAGGGTGTAGTGATATAATTCTATAAATCAGTCTTAACTTTTCTTAAGAACATTCTTGCTCATATAAGAGAACTTCTTGACATTTATCGTGATAGCATTAAGGGCATCATAAGGCTCAACGGAGTGAAATATACACTCCTTTGGCAATCTTGCAACCTAACCGCTCGATTCGTGAGAATCAATTTCTGTAGAAATAGCTTTCACGTTTAGAAGTATCTTTTTAAGCGGTTCTTTCGTGTTGTGCAATTTTCTTTTGGTTTTACCATTAGTGGATCGAGGAAATGATAACATAAAATCTCTATAACGCGTCAAAATACAATGGAAATAGTCTTTTGCTTTACAGTTATGTGTACATGCAATACTAATTACGAAATGTAAATTATTGCCAGTAGAAAATCGTCGACCGAACTCTTACTTTAAAACTAGGTCAATTTAATCATAAGTAAAATTTATTCAACATCGTCAGTGTCAGAAATTATTTTTTATTCTTCCTTCTCGATTTACTTTTTCACGTGAAATCATCCCTTGAATAAATTGAAAACATCTTATTATCAATATACATCATATCAGTAGATATTATTTACTTCTACTTTTGATATATTCAAATTTTTAAATTACAATTCATTCATATTTAATTCGTAATACTTCAAATTTTCGCCTAGAAGTCACACTATCTTCTCGAATTCCATTCCAAAAACAATACTTTTATTTTTAAATTTGTATGTATAACTCGCGCACATTCGATTCGCAATTTTGCAAATTTGCGTCTGGAGATCGAGCTATTTTCGTTGCCACGTGTTTTGTTCCAGGAATAAATGCATTCGGCGCGTCGCACGATTTACGATTTAAAATCGTCGAACGATTCGCGAGCGATCGTGATCGAAATGCATTTATCACGCGGAGATATCTGCGTGCAGTCGCAGTGAAAGTAAGAAAGGACAGTGCTCCGGAATTCGTATTCATGGAATGATAAACAAGGCGGCCGAAGAGAACGCGACGTTTTCGTTACAATCGGGTCGGAGCCACGACTAGAGTTCAATGCTCGTCCGTCGAAGGGACATTAGACTTGTTTCATTTGCGCAACGCCGTTACGTACGACATAATTCGATATTAATGCCGGCATTCGTGATAGTAAAACGGGGGCGTTCACTTTCGTTGTTTTCGCCGATAAACGTCGTTCGAGCGTGATTGCATTCTGTAACACCGACGTCGCTCAATCTTAGCTGAAACGACGTCAATATATCGTTTCCTTTTCCCGATGTCCTGTCGGTATCCGTTCGATAGCTGCAGGATATACTTAAAAAAAGCTAACACAAATTTTAAACATTTATGTATGGAGGGTATACGTTATTTAATTGACGCGATATAAAACATTATCGGGTTTAGAAATCTAATACATTAAAAAATTTAGTTTACACGCGATACATTTTTTTTAAATAATAAAATAACTACTAGAGCAGTTGATGGGTTTTTAGATATCATGAAAGAGAAAAAAAGAGTTTATTTTTACTATTTGTCTATTTAGTTTGTATTTAATGCTCTTAATACATATTTAAAACTTTTTATTGTGATGAGTATCATACATTTGCAGTAGATCATGAAAGGTGAAGTATATACAATCATAAAAGATTTGTTTGAAATTCTTCATTTATTTTCAACTTATGAGACTTAAACATATAGTGAAATAGAATTGGTATTTTTTTGTTATACTCTTCGTAGAGATGATAATGCATGTGTAGAAATGCCTGCAGAACCAGATCGGTCACTGTGAACGAAGTTCTTCGATACACCGTAAGGTAACGACACCTTTCTATAGTGAAATCGTGGGATCATGCTGCGCCTGACCACAGTTTACCCATTCTACTGCGCAGTGTAAATGAGAACGTGCACTGTTCGGTTGCAAATTTCAAGCATAATCTATCTTTAACGAGTCACAAATTAAAGTGACATCACTTTCGATAATACTTCTCTTTATAAAAAAATATAATTGTTTTTTGTGTTATTATAAAAGCTACACTTTTCAAGTTCACGAGAGTGGTATTTCAAAAATAAATAGAACTTTCGATAATTCAACAGTTTTCTTTTGTTATTAATACGAATGGACGAAATTTGTTTGTTGCTTTCACCAAGCATGTAATTTAAATAAAAATAAATCAATCGCTTCTTTCCCCCAAAAAATCTTGCTAACAACTCAAGATATTCAAAGAATAGTTTAGATTTTTCCATTTCTATAAACATGTTTTTATCGATAATTTGCGATATCAAGTAGTGTTACAAATCATGCATAACTTTTGGTGCATAATTTAAATCTTGTATTCCATTTAAATAAATTTACATTTTATTTTTGTCGAGATATAAAATATCACAATATCTTTACCAAATGATGCAATTACGGTGTAATATATAATTACTTTAGATAAGGAATCGCGTCAAACATAATCGAGTTACTGTCGTGCCCTTCTTGGTCCTCTTTATCTCAGGACGGTGATATATTACAAATTAGGAAAGGGGAAGATAAAAGATGGGACAAACGGAGCACGATAAGAGGTCGCGTTGCATATTCATGCAATTACTTTAATTGACTCGTCGTGGCCCTTTATCGAGCAGTGTTCGTACTGGAACGCAGTAGGTGCCGTGACTGTCGACGATCAAACCACTCATATCTTTCGTTAATTCACAAATCTCGATTAGCGGGGCATTCAGGGGCTCATCCGTGTGTTTCTCGCGCCGTCGGCGCGGCTGCACGGCTTCACGGATGATATACGAAATTGAAACGTCACATAAAACAGATTAAGGCGACGTATAATGAAAGGGCAATTATCGTTCCGGCGCGCATTTCGCCTATATTATCGTCGCGTATCCCGACGCGTATTTCATCCGTGGAACGCGACGCCGCCGCGGCCGTAACTGTCAATGGCGTCGTCGTACTAAAAAGTTAAGCGGTCGTGGTATGCGGTTAGGGGCACAATTTTCGGGCGTGGGTGGAGAGAAAAAGACCGGCTGCTCGAAATTTTTTACGGCCCCGATTCCTTCGATCGTTTCTTTCGTCGAGGGAAACCAGTCCGAAATACTTTAACTCGTAGGGCCTCGTGAAATACAACGTGCTAATAAACTATAAACATAAACTTTAGTGGCTAGTTTCGGAGATATTCGACCCTTTTAATTTGCATATCGGGCCTCGAGACTTCGAGAACGCCAAGTAGTAGAAAACGCTGGGCAAAACGTAGGGTGAAAAAGTTGGAAGCTGTTCGTTGACGTTGATTGTAGTTTGTGTAAACCGAAGAGTGCAACGTTGTTGTGAAACTTAAGAATTCTCAGTTATTCCTTCTTATTTATTAACCTCTTGCGTGATACAATATATTTCGGTTGTA